GAGATACCAAACCCCTCTAGTAAGTCATGCAAAGCGTACGCATCAATCTAAGACTTACCGTTGGCACATACACGGCGTCGCAGTGGTCAATCTAAATCTTGTCTGCACGACAACAGACTGGACTCTCTCCAGGATGAACTCCAGGATGAACTCCAGGATGAACTAAGAGCAACAGCCTGAGGCAAGCTCTGTCCACTCTGTCAGACCTGTATAACTAACTGCAGCCTGGCAGAAAACTGTCAGAGCCACCCTGGAGCACTACTGCCTGCTCTCACTTCCACTGGAGGGACTCTGTCTGGTCTTTCACTGTCACCCCTGCTACTGCTTAACTATCATACAGTTTGCAATTCTTGCACTTTGGGCACCCTACCTGGCCACAAAGTTGGGTTGTATACATTGCCCGAACTGCAGTTTGAAACTGTATCGTGGCCCATAGTGCAATTATAACTCGTTTTTGTAACTCCCATCATTATGTAGCTTCCCCTTTTTCTTTGACTAGTACTCAATGCCAATTATCGTGGGCGGGGATCATATCTGATTCAAACTCCTGTTATTCGGGATGGTTCCCGAGACCAGGTGCCAGCCTGGTTACCGTATGGCCCACGATAATTGTGGGTGCTCCACATTACTAGACTTGCTTTGTGTTCTTTCTTTGATAATAAACACATCCTCCAAGGAGACATTTCAAGACTCTGTTTGTTTTGCTGTGGAAGCATCATCTCCCGCTTCTGTGCAGGCTGGCTTGGGGGGGAGAGGGAGGGCTGGGTTGCAAGGGTGAGCTGGACAGGAGACAGGCTGGACCAGGGGGAAGGACGAGAGGGAGACCTGGAAAGAGATTATCAGCTTCTGTTTAAGGACTGGACAGGGGTGGATCCTGGAGAACAGATGAGACCTGCGCAGGAGTTCGGCGACCCCTTTCCTCCCCACCCTTTGGCCATGGAGGAATATTTGGGGATTTAGAGACATTCTAAGCGCTCCCAAACGACATGGCAGGAGACTCCTTGCCAATTGGCCAGCATCTCGCATTTCTGTTCTGGAAATATCCCTTCTTGGCATTCTCAGTACTCTGCAACATTTTCGGTATTCTTGGCCTGACAACCATTAGGCGCTCTAGGGACAGTGGGTGGACAGCTGTGGGTGGTGGGCAGGGGCTGGGTGAAGGAGGGAGTCTCCACTGGCTTGCTTCTCGCCCCTTCCTACTGCTCGTCACTCAATTAGCTCAGAAGTGGGTGTCTGATGCGGTCATATGTCAGAACCACTGTTCAGATAGTTTGAGACATTTTGCTGTGCTAATTCTGATTGAGTCCCATGATGCTCAGCAATAGGCGCCAGGAGGATAGTTGGTCGACAGCAGGGGTCAGAGGTTGGAGGAGGCTCTACTGGTGCCCCCCAGTGCTCCCCTCCGATACCCGACCCTGCTGCAGGATTGGTTTGGAAAAACAGACAAGGATATGGGACACTGGACCCGGTTTCCAGCACAAGGGCGTCAACGACATTGATGTACATTGCTGTATTGTTTTGTAAAGATGTATCTAAGGGATGCTGGACCCGGTTTCCAGCAGGTGATGCTCCCCACCAATAGATGGAGTGGCCCGCCAGGCAAAGCCTCAATCCCGGTGGTTCTCTTACCACCACCAGGATAGAGGGCCTTGTGCAGGGGCCTTCTCAAAAAAAAAAAAAAAAAAAAAAAAAAAAAAAAAAAAAAGACTTTGTTTTGTTTTTCTTCAATAACGCCCAGGTTTTTGTAGACGCTGAGGATCGACCCAGGGCAGATGTTCGCTCCATAGGAGAGGGGGGCAAAACATGATAGCCTAATCCACGAAAGACATTGGCAGTACAATTATTATATAACAGTTATTCTCGGGGAATAATATTATGAATTTAGGAGGTCGCACGTTCTCATGCAAGCCTGGAGAGCAAGCCTTAGGACCTCAGCCGGTGCTCCTTTGAGAGAAAAAAGAGTATCAGTTTCACATTGGTCCGCGGCAAGCACCACAGGCGATAGAAGAAGAGATCAGGTGGTTGCGCACACAACATGCCTGGAAACCATGAAACAGAACTATCACGACGAAAGAGACCCCACACTCAGGGAGGCTTTGCGGGAGTCCTACCGCCAAATTTGGCGGGATCCTCATGAAGCCTTCTCCTAATTGCAGGATGGCCTCAACATACAATGGAAAAACTCATGAAGCCTTCTCCGAATTGCAGGATGACCTCAACATACGACGGAAAAACTGGAGGGCGAACGATCCCTCCTTGCAAAGGAGATCCCTGGATGACTTTGCAGTCCCGTACCTTCCAACCAACTCCGTGCTGATTCCTCAGAGCCCCCACCACGCAACAGCCCCTGCCCCCACCCAGCAGCAATCTCTGCTGCCAACCCCGGCACCGTCTCCTCGTCAGCCGCCTTCCACCCCCTGATCCTCTACTGTCCCCCGTGTCCCGCCATCTCTTCCACCACTGCAGGTGATGGGGCGACCTGACATCCTGGGCCCACTGAAGTGAACAACCGGATTGATGTAAAGAGCGACGACAAGCTTGGGACATTGGACAGATGGCATCAAGAACGAAGGCCATCAGGGTGATAGACGCCGAAAAAGCGGACAGCAGAATTACCTGAGGAGCTCAGTGACTTCCTCCTGCCGGATCTGCCCGGGAAGGGGTGCTCGGGCCAATCACCGGTCCGGGAGAAATATGGGGACTAGGAACCTGCTCCATAAGGGGGCTCACCTGATGCAAAAATACATTAATATGTGCAAGAATCTGTGACTTTGGCGGCAGAGTGCTACTCAAGGGGTCAAGGACGATGTAACTGCAGGGATGGGCCCAGTGCTGATGCGCGCCACAGAGGACCGTCCCTGGCTAGGGAGCCCGACTATAACTGAGCTTCCTTAACAACTTCGGGTTTTCGACTTGAAGGGTGGAGGTAGAGGAATGGTAGGAGGTGTGTCTGCCCACATGAACTGGAATCCAATCACAAAGAGAGAGAGCCAGCCTCCAAGCCTGCGGCTAACGGGGATTGCTACAGGTAGCAGAGAAAATAGGGAGAAGAAGATCACACCTTACCATCTGCAGTCAGATCCCCCAGTCACACCCATGGATCCTGTGGATGCCATCACTTCCATAATAGGAGGTTATGTAGGGCAACCTTCTTCTTAGGCTGCAGGGTAGGTCTACCTGTTAAATTCGCTCTTCTGTAGGAATGCCCCCTGCGGCTTGCTGTCATTACAGTTCTGAGCATGGAACTCCGGGAAAGAGAGAGCTGCAATGAGCAACACAGAAAACATTCTCTTGGGCAGCTCTCTATCAGTTAGAGAAGACCCAAAAAAAAAAAAAAAAAAAAAAGGTAGGCAAAAGAGAGAGAGAGAGAGAGTAGGGGAGGAAGGAAAGATCACCATAGAAAACAGATCCAGAATGAGTGCTGCTCCTACACCCATTTATTGCAATGGGATGCTGGGCCCCCGGTTCGCGACGGGTGGTGCCTCCACCTTCCAGACGGATAGATTGGACCCATCTCAACTACCGGCCCTACTGTTGCCATCTGCTCCTACCAGCTCCAGCTCCAACAGTGGACCCCCCACCTATGTTTCTCAATATATATCAGTCATACAGAACGACCCGCTGAACTGTAGGCAGAGAGGGAGAAGAGCATAACCATCTGTATCGTCCAAGTTTCACATATCTATCTATCTATCTATCTATCTATCTATCTATACATATATTACACACACACACACACACACACACACACACACAGAGAGAGAGAGAGAGAGAGAGAGAGAGAGAGAGAGAGAGAGAGAGAGAGAGAGAGAGAGA